CACTGCCCCATGGAAAACCTTCTTGCTGCCCCATGGAAAACCTTCTTGCTGCCCCATGGAAAGCTCTCTGAGTGTCCCTCTGCCCCATGGAAAACGCTCTGAGTGTCCCTCTGCCCCATGGAAAACCCTCTTGAGTGTCTCACTGCCCCATGGAAAATCTCTGAGTGTCTCACTGCCCCATGGAAAATCTCTGAGGGTCTCACTGCCCCATGGAAAACCCTCTGAGTGTCCCACTGCCCCATGGAAAACCTTCTGAGTGTCCCTCTGCCCCATGGAAAACCCTCTGAGTGTCCCACTGCCCCATGGAAAACCCTCTGAGTGTCTCTGTGCCCCATGGAAAACCCTCTTGCTGCCCCATGGAAAACCCTCTGAGTGTCCCACTGCCCCATGGAAAAGCCTCTGAGTGTCCCTCTGCCCCATGGAAAACCCTCTGAGTGTCTCACTGCCCCATGGAAAACCCTCTGAGTGTCTCACTGCCCCATGGAAAATCCTCTGAATGTCTCTCTGCCCCATGGAAAATCCTCTGAGTGTCCCTCTGCCCCATGGAAAACCCTCTGAGTGTCCCACTGCCCCATGGAAAACCCTCTGAGTGTCTCACTGCCCCATGGAAAACCCTCTGAGTGTCCCTCTGCCCCATGGAAAACCCTCTGAGTGTCCCTCTGCCCCATGGAAAATCCTCTGAGTGTCCCATGCCCCATGGAAAACCCTCTGAGTGTCCCACTGCCCCATGGAAAACCCTCTGAGTGTCTCACTGCCCCATGGAAAACCCTCTGAGTGTCCCGCTGCCCCATGGAAACCCTTTGAGTGTCCCATTGCCCCATGGAAAACCCTCTGAGTGTCCCTCTGTCCCATAGAAAACCCTCTGAGTGTCCCTCTGTCCCATAGAAAACCCTCTGAGTGTCTCACTGCCCTATGGAAAGCTCTCTGAGTGTCTCACCGCCCCATGGAAAATCCTCTGTCCCACTGCCCCATGGAAAACCTTCTTGCTGCCCCATGGAAAACCCTCTGAGTGTCCCATTGCCCCATGGAAAACCCTCTGAGTGTCCCTCTGCCCCATGGAAAACCCTCTGAGTGTCCC